TACTCAACATCAGTGCCTGACCTCATTAACGCTGAGGCTGAACTGGGGCAAATTCCTGCAGCCAGGTTCCAAAATCTTGTGCAAAGCCTTTCTTGAAGGGTTGAGGATGTTACAGCAGCACAAGCGATCACATATGGATGTTAGGTTCCAGTGTCCACATACTTTTGGCCATATACACAGATTTTATGACAGCCTTCTGATGAGGACTGGTTCAAAGTGCAAGGTTCAGTTTTTTGATCCCTAAAATCATGGAAATGACTGCTCACATCCTAATCAACCAAGACTGATTAGAGGACATCAGAAATAAATACCCATGAAATAAATTCATAGATAAAAACAACATAAAACTATATTCTTCAAGAAAAACAGAGTGGGAGGATTAAATTAAAGTTATTTTGTCTATCCCTTCTACCTTCGTGTCTTCACATGCCACTCATGAGAAAGCTGGAGGCTCAGTGACTGCCACACATTGACAGTATACACTGTGTGTTTTTTATTTTACGTGAACATAAAACCTTAATGTTTTACTGCATGAAACCAAATACAAAGATACTTTGCCAGCACTGGGATTTGAACCTGGGACACCCACATGAATGTATTCTGCTCTGGCAAGTGTAACTTTTACAGTATTGTGCCTCTGTGTCCTGCAGCAGTATTACTTTCTTGGACCGACAGACCAACTGACAGCATCTTCTCACTGCTCATCACAGCGGAAAATGCTATTTCATCCCTGCTCTTCCCCCTTCCTCATTTTACCCTTTCTGACCACATTCGGTGTCTGTCTACTCCTCTAGATAAGCCAACCAAGTCAGTGTCCAGAGATGCTCTTCTTCCTCTGCAGTATGCTAGCTGGACCTCTGAGGACACTGTGCTGGACGATCACCGGACTGGACCTTCTACACTCATCGCTGCCAGGTATGTGTGTTGTATGTTTAAGGGACAGTTTTGTGTGGAAACTTGGCGAGACTTTCTGGATCTATTGGCAAAAATAAAATATAATATTCATATGTTTTCATTAGTGTATAATCAACTGAAAATAAGGACCTTTGTGTTTTTGTTACCTTAGAATGAATGAACGTTTATCTACAGAGAGGCCACCATGTTGAACTGCCAAGTTTCTACAGTAGCCCAGAAGGGACAAACCGAACACTGATTCTAGAGGCTTTTTCACGGCCACCATAGTTTCTCCTAAACACTTCACAGCCTGTTCTTATTCCCAGGTCATTAAATACAAACATAAGCAACGTTCAGTTAGTTGCCATTTGCAGCTTCACTGCTAGCTGCCTCTATATCCTAAACACTGGTCTTTTAAAGCTTCATTTGAAAGTATTAACATTTTTTGTACAATTATTGCACAACATGTTTTTCTTCAAAGCAAAGAACCAGCTGATACATTCATGCCACATTAAGTCAGAATGAATGTTGATGGTGTTCTTCATGTTTTTGATATTTATGCTTCAACCATTTGCAGTGGCCCGCTGCACCGACCACCAGTCGTAAATATACAGTGTGATAGCATGTCACCGACCCATGAAAACTCCATATAGTATCTCGGCAGAGTGTCCTTTGCTTTGAGTGGAATAACTGGCTCTATTTTCATGTCTTTCCTGCTGCAGAAGCAGAGTTTGTGGCTCAGATACACTCCCATCTGTGTGACACAGCACATAAGAAGAAACAGCACTACGGTGAGCTCAACCTGACATCCCCTCTTAAAAACACACACACAGACACACAAACACGAAGAGCCTCCATTTCTTTGTGTCATAACTTCAAAAGCTTGTCACCTTGCCTTCTCTCACTAATTCAGCTTGTGTCGTAACAAGTCAGCAGAGACCGGAGAAGAAACGCAAAGCAGCTCCCCTCTTCTCATCAAACGCTGTCTTCTTAAAAAATCATATAAGACAATCAGAAACTACCCAAATGACACCTTTCAATATTACCCAGAATAAAATTTCTATCAATCCCACTTGTAATGGCTTTGTTCTGTTATACCGACCTGGTTTTTTTATATTGGATATCTGTCTGTTCTTTTGATTCATGTGTGCCTTTGTGCCATATCTCACAGAAAGCTGCTCAGAGGAGGCTGCACACACTGCAGTTAGAACACTAATAGACCTGGGGGTGAGTGACAGCCTTTATGTGTGTGTAAGTGTGTGTGTGTGTGTGTGTGTGTGTGGTGGTGTGTGTAGACGTGTGTGTGTGTGTCGTGTGTGTGTAAGCTGTGTGTGTCGTGTGTGTGTGTGTGTGTGTTTCTAAATCTGTGTGCCTGCGGAGAATCAAAGCTCAACACAGGACTAAAAGTTTAGGCGGAGTCCAACTACCCAAAAAGTTCAGTTAAACATAAATCTGTTCCCATGTGAGCCTGAATCCAATTATGGTCAATTGGTGTTTTTCAACAGTATTCTTGAGCCCTCAAGCTCAATGTGAACAGGAATCCAACCTGATTTTTATGCAACAAGAGAGAAACTGAGCCTGACTAGAGCCAGCCACATCCAATCATGTTTGAGGCAGAAATGTCAGTCTTTAAAGAGAATTCACTGGGCCAAGGACACAAGTGACTTAAAATTAGAAATGAGAAAAAATGTGGTACAGGCAACACTTCCTCTGAGTCTCTCAACCGTTTCACATTTTGGGCTTTAAAAAGAACAATACTGGTGTCCTACGAACCCGTAACCTTGTTATTGTTGTCTATATCAACTTTACCACCATTATGTTTCAAACTGTGCTGAATGTCATTGGGTTTTAAAACATTTATAAATTGTCTGAAATACACTTTCAGCACAAATGTTATTGCTGTGCAGGATCAGCGGTCTACGTAAGCACCAACTTGATGTACAAAGTCTCCGTCTGTCTCTGCACAGGATGTGTTCAGGCACAGTAGTGAGTGTAGGTCTGTCAGAGCCCAACACAAAGTCACTGTAGTTACTTGTGTAAAAGAGACAAAAATAGACTTGAAGCATACAGAGTTGGTGAACATTATGATGTTAAAATAATTGTACATTTCTACTTAATATTGTATTGAAATGGCTTGAATCTGTTCTTTTTTGATAGTATGATTATATTTATAATGGGGAGGTATCTTCATCTTCAAAGCTCTCCTGCACATTTTACATTTCTTTTCAATTCTGTTCTGCATGTGCAAATACATTAACTAAAACTAACTCATCAAGCCTTTGGTTGTGTTAGGTTGTGTTAAATAGAAGCGTATCTGACGTGCATGAAATATAAAATATATTTGAACTTCACATTACAGAGGCTTTCAAACGTTTTACTTTATTATTTGATGGCTACATATAGGAACTAGTAACTGATAATGAATTTACACACAAAATATGTGATCAGCTTGTAAAATATGATTTGTTATTAAAGTTTGAACAAGCCCACAGATATGAGAGATATAACACACAAACAACATTAAAGCTTTTAAGCTTTTAAGGTTCTGATGGGTCTGTTTTTCTGCTGCTAGCTGGTTCCAGTCTATATGCTAAGCTAAGCTAATGGTCTGCTGGCTGTAGCTTCAAATTTACCATACCTTTAAGATGAGAATAGATTGCTATTGATCTTCTCATTTAACTCTCTGCAAGAAAGTGTATTTCCCAAAATATTTACCTGTTCTATTCAGTACATTGTGCTGATAATGCTTCGGTGCTAAGTAAGATAAAGATTGCAGGGAAATGTTCCTGGGGTGATTTGTTTTTTAGGATTCCTGTGACATATTTTCCTTTCTTCCTGTTATTTGGGAGGTGACCTGATATTAAAACACTCCACTCTGGCACAATGAACCGAGGATTAAACAGAAACTTTGATGAGGCCAGATAAAGGCTTCATGTTTATTGTGATGGATTATCAAGCTGCGGCAATTTTCAAGTCTGTGGAGGTTGTTTTTCATACAGTGCAAGAAGGAAAGCAGCAAATGGCTTGTCTTGCTGATAGGAATATGAGAATCTATTATTGCCATCTGCACTGACTCTGCAAACAATGAGGAATAATAAAAAAGGAGAAGGGCAACCTGGCCGATTGGCACCAACTTAAAATCTATGAACTGAAGAGAAACACTCCTATTGTGCTCATAAAAATGGACAAAACAGTCCCTCACTCATAACTCTAAAGTAGTTTTTTTTTAATCGATAAGTATATAAATCAATATTTTGGCATAAATTCCCTGTTCTCACAATTTACCACTCAGTCTTTCGACTCAATAAAGTAGCGTCTGCACCCATCAGACTCCTTTATCAGTCTGTGGGTTGGGAATCGTTGCCTTTTTAAAAATAGAGCATCATTGACCTATATCTCTGCAAAGATCTCATGAGGCAATTATTAACTTTCTTATAAAGGTTATCAGTCAGAAGTGGTCGTTATCATGCTAATTCCACTCCCTGATGTCAAGACGGCTTAATTTTTAAGATCTCCAGGTCAGGAATCAAAGAGGGGGAATGTGCTTCTAGTGTACATGCAACTGTAAAACAAAAGGAAGTCTGAAGCTCAGCTCTGTTATTTAGCCTCATTATTTCAAACCTTGCTGAGTATATGGAATAAGGTGGTTCAATGTTATTTATGTAACGTCCTTAGCTTTGTTTGTCGTTTTCATTTTTGAGGTGTTTTTGTTTTGAAAGGTTTTTATCTGTTTTGAATTCATTGTTTTTTTATTTGGCCTTCTGCAAAAAAAAAAAACACAGTGCTAAAGATAAGAATGAGCTCACAATGCTCAAATGAAGGTTACAGAATAAAAAGCATAGTGGTTTGCGAGTGTCCTGACGGTGCCGTGTTTATGTTCACTGCAGGTCCTTTCGGAGGAGCATCAGAAAGGAGGCGTCTTCCTGGGTGTCAGTCCTTTGTTCCAGTTGTCAGAAAACAGGCAGAAACTGCACCGCTTCATCTCACAGTACCTCTACAATTAATGTGTTTAACTGAGCAGCATGACTCGAGGCTGTGACTCGGCTTTGTTTTGTTGCAGTCTGACCTCATCCCTCTGTTAGTGTCACACAAGCTTTTGTTCAGTGTTTAAAAAAAAAAAAAAAAAGATGCATGCTGAGCCGGGACGCTCGTGCCTTTAGGTTAATTGCATTTTGATTTTCCGGTGATGAGACATTGATTTTTAAGTTTATCTTTAGTAATAGCATTAGCATAAAGCCACAGGAGACGAGGATTATGAAGTCCCTGTAATCAGTTGTGAGGACTCACTGCGCCTCGTGTTTCGACCATGTTTACGTTGTAATGAAGGCCGCAGATGTTTTGTTCGTAACGTGATCATTAAGCCGAGCTCTGCTTTGTTCTAGTTTCTCACAAGTTAATCAGTGAAAGTGTAAATGTTCATTCCGACAATAAACAAATTACTTCATCATTACTTGACACATATCATTTGAAGAGGTTCACAGACAAAAACGCTTTACAGTAGTATATTGTGTGCTCATTTCTTTAGATATAATTTCTTCCAAACAGCTCATCACTCTAACTCGCTCTCCTCCTGAATGTAGATCTTTTGTGTGCTGACTCAGACCTCAGGAGAGTCTGTTTGACGTAGACCTTTTGACTCCGAGGTGTAGACAAATCGATGTCTCGCTTTGAACGGGACGTAGAACTTTTTCTGGCAGGCGTTAATATTTTGGAGTTTACAACCATCTGTTTTTACAGTCAAGAGTCAGCACGTCTGTGTTTTTTCTTTCACCTTGACCACAAATCAAAGGTGCAGTTGATCGGCTCCCATTGACCATGAAACTCTACTGCCACCCAGTGTTGAAGTGAGTGTACTGTTAGAGCCTTTTCACAGGTGCCTCAGTAATAGCTTGGGTCTTAAATCCACACTTACACTAATTCTAGGCAAGTTTTTAATCTTAGTTTTTAATCTCAGTTAACTTCAAATTACTCCCCATGTAGTGTAAGTGTTGGGAAAATGCTGCCTGCTTTGGATAAAATAATCTGCTAAATGACTGAATTTAAAATCTAATTATTTCACTGATTATTATGTGACTCACTGGTTAAACATGATTATGAACAAGTCACCTAATCACACTACTGAAAAATGTAAATGAGTCCATTTAGTCTGAGGGTTTCTCTGCAGCTGTCAGTGAAAAAAAATCAACTTCAGTGATTTCAGCAAAAAGAAAATGAAGCAAGCAGGTACATGAATCAAAGTAGCTTCGTCAGGCAAAGTACATTTTCATTCAATTCATTTCTATTACTGGAAATCTGCTTACTTTCTATGAGAAAGTGGTTGAATCCTCTAAGTTAGTGGAAAACTCATCAGTTTATCATCCTGAATGTTAAACATAATTACAAACATGTTTTATTTTTTTACATATAAAAAAAACTGTCAGGAAGTTCACAGTTTCTGCTCTACTGCAGGGGTGGGTGGCTGCTGATGGAGGGTATTTTTACAGCTAGTGATGACAATGACTCAATAACCGAGGTCGAGCTGCAAAATCACCGTGTTGAGTCATGTAATTACACCGTTTCATGTAGTAAAAATACCATGTTTTCCTTCCTTTCAATTACTATAGTACCCTGAATAAAACATTCATCCTGAGTTTACAGTTTCCACACAGTCTATTAGAAACAAAACTCAATCAAACTTTCTGATAATAGTTATTAATTGTGTGAAGCAGTCGATCAGAAGTGCAGTTTATTTAACAGCTGACAGCCCAATCAATCATAGATTCTTGGTGTTTTCTGCAGGCTGTCTCAGGGATTAGACCACTTTGTTGATTATAGAGCCTAATTGGTCTATCTGGCACTCCACCACATCTCCTTTCTGGAAAAAAAAAAAATAAGTTAGTTAAAATACACCTTTACTCCCTTTTAAATACTCTCTCTTACTGTCTGTTAAGATACTGTGTCTTAACAGACTTTAACTGTGACAGAATACATACAGTATATTATCTGCAGCCATTGAGTTCTTTTGGATAAAGTAAGGAGTTGAAGTGCAGCTACAGACACAAGAACTGGTTCACACCAGCTCTACATTTTTTGGCAGTTTCACCCATGAAATTACCTTGAGAAAAACAGGTGGCTTTCTGAACACACCCACACCTGGAGGAGTGCCTGTCAGGAACACGTCTCCTGGAGTTAATGTCACAAACCTGACAGGAGTAAAAAAAGACACACATGGATGCCCAGATTCAGGGAGCAGCATGTGCTATTATACAGTAGCATCGAAATTACCACAGCTGACTATTGTCTACAGAATGAGAGGGTTTCTTTTTCTCATGGTCATGCAGTATAATTTTTATGCTCATTTGTTTATACAGATCCTGTGAAAGTCGTCAGCAGTAAGTCAGGAGAGAGACTGAGAGGCTTTCAATCTAAGAATCTCAGATCAGATCAGGGTGCTTCAGTGAAAAAGGGTGGCAGCCATGGTGGATAAGTCTTAGTGGAAGCATGTAATTTCAGCTTAGAGTCTGTGATGAACGGAGGCCATTTGCTTGCACAATAATCCTCTTGTGGATTCTGACACGATCTGATTTACATAATTTCTTAAATGGAAACTCTGCACTCTCAGCTTGAGTTACTGAAGCAGGAAAAAGTTAAAGTTTCGTATATAATATGAAAATCTGTGTGGATTTAAATCTCTTAGCAATGTCTTCCCCTGAAGCAAAGACACATTCATCACGTGCAGAAGAAGTGTACCGAGTGGACGTACTTTGAGACCCAGGCGACCAGCGCCTCTGTCTTGAAGATCATCTGATCAGTGTTGCTGCTCTGCACTGTGTCTCCATTAACCAGACAGCGGACATCCAGGTTGTGAGGATCTGAAGGGGGAATGATTAACAGGGTGTCTGCAGGTTTTCAAAAGTCCTTAAAAAGCACTGAAATAAAAAAAATATTTGTTCTTTCCTGCCATAGGAGTTATAATTTAGTTAGAGTTGTAACATCTATAGACTACAAATGAGATAAGTCAGCACCATCAGACCTGTAACAAACACTGTCACTTCGTCTGTTAATGGTCGTCTCATAAAGGTCTATAAAGGGTCAATTTTAGCAAAAACTTAATTCATTTAAATTAATTTATTATATAATTGATTATTTTAACAAACTTGGCTAGATTGATTAACTTTTTGATATTAATAGTGTTGAATGATCTTTCAAATGACAGTGGTAGGAGTAATCCATTAACTTTTGTTTGTCATAAAGCCACGTAGGACAAATATGTAATGATACTCGTTACCTTGATTTCCTGTCAAAAATTAAAGGTCCAGTGTGTAACATTTAGGAAGATCTACGGGCAGAAACTGAAGGTAGGTATGTTTTCTTTAGTGTTTAATTACCTGTGTTTTTGTTTCCTTACAATGAACTGTTTTTATCTACAGAGGGAGCGGGTCCTTTTCAGAGAGTCCACCATGTTGAACAGTCATGTTTCTACAGCAGCCCAGAACGTATAAAAACAAACACTGGCTGTAGATAAGACCTTTCTCATTCTTCACAGCCACCATAGCTTCCTGTACGCGCTCGTAAGGTTAAGCTGTATTCAAATGGTT